TGGGACTTTGCTGTCTGCGTTTGCTGTCTGCGTCTCCCAGCAGATGTCTGGGTAGTTTAGGTCCCCCATGACTACCGCCTCCTTAGTTTTTATGTTCTCCAAGAGCTGCCTCAGGAGCCCCAAATCTAGCTCTTCCCCTTGGTGTGGGGGTCTGTAGCAGATCCTTGTCTCTGCCTCACTTCCCATGGGGATCTTCACTCCGCTGATCCCAGGATCTCATCTGAGCTACCGGGTTACAGTTCCATCATGCAGATGAACAAGATTGGGGAAAATGGGCAGCCCTGCCAGGCGCCTGACTCCAGTGCGATCAGGGCAGTCAGAAACCTATTCACCAGCACCCTGCTGCTCACTTCAGTTTACAGCATCTTTATCCAAGCGATGAAGGTCAGGGGGACCACCATTTTCTTCAGCATCTTTAACAGGAACCTGTGAGACACTTGGTTGTAAGCTTTCTCCAGGTCAAGGTTCAACATGGCTGTGTTCAGCCCTCTCTCCCATTGGTACTACAGTGTGTCCTGCAGCTGTAGCAAGGCTTTGTGGATCAGTTACCCTGGCACTGTGCATGACTTCTTCATGGATCATGGCACTTGTAACAGACTTGAAGCACGCAACGAAGACTATGGCCATCAGTTTATGGTCAAAGTTCAGGAATGTCATGGGTTCCCAGTTCTTCAAATTCTCCCTCACCGCCTTCTTATGAAGAAGGGTTATGAGGCCTTGATCCATCCCTGCCTTCAGGTAGCCCTCCTGCAGCCATTCCCTATACACCTCCAGCAGGTCTGGACCCACCTGGTCCTAGGGGGTGATGTAGAACTCCTTGAGCAAGCTATCTGTCCCAGGAGTCATAATTTTTTAAGCTGTGGGGAGTCTTGGTGGTCTCCTCCAGAGTCCACTCCTCCACCAGCTTCTGGCCCTTATCTTGCCCTGCCCCCCACAAGGATGTGGGTGATCTCCTGCAGGTAGTCCTGCATGGCCTCTGGGTCCTGAACTGTTTGGGGTCCTGTAATGTTTGCCAGACATTTAAGGTTGGTGTAGAAACAGGAATCATTGGAAATGGGAAAGAAAGGCACAGCTCAGTTGTGGGAGCGAAGAGGAAGTAAAAATGTATGCAGTGTAGTGGCTCACCATGACTTGAAAAAGAGTTGGTGGTGTGGGGGACTGCACTTAATGGCACACACCATTAAGTCTTATTCAAATGGGTTGCACTAACCTATCCTTGTGGCAGGTTTCCATCAGAATGTTTGTCCCATGTGGGCTATGTGTTTTATAGCAGAGGTTCCCAAACCTTTTCTTTTTACAGACTCCACTTCCAGATTTACCAGCTGTCTGCGTATCTCTTCCAGCATATGTTTTATATTTTAACTCCTTAAATGCCAATCATTATAATGAAAATTAAATCTGCCATTACACAATTTCTCCTGTGTACCCCCTAGAGATGTCTTACATACCCCCAGGGGTACATGTATCACAGTTTGGGAGCCCCTGTTTTATAGTCATGCTCAGTGTTGACTGTATTTAATCAGCTTTATAGTTAATTTTCATGACTGAGCACATGCTGCTTTTGGCAGCAGGTTAATGATAGACAGTGTATTTAGTGAGATTTCCCTGTATGCAAATGTAAGACAAGGGGCTTTTTTTCCCCTTGCCAGCTGGGGAAAAAAACCCCCTCATCTTGTATTTGATTAAATGCTGTATGTTTCTAACCATGTACCATAAGTAAGGCCAAGAACATATACATGTTGTGATATTGTTGACTTTTGAAACATATGCAGTGGGGACCACCGGTGTGGTCATAAAATATTTAATTCCTGTACAGTATGCCTGCAAAGTGCAAAGAGATGGGACAATGGCAGCTCCTCAGAGCAAGCCTGTGAACCTGAAGTCCTCTTCATTGGAATGACCTCCTTTCCATGACTCAGTATATGACTGTTTTATTTCACTCTCTCTTTCAGGTGCCCTGGTTGCTTTCTTAAGGGAAGTCGCATCTGAAGCCCCTCACATTCCATTTTATTACTATCACATTCCTCCTTTAACAGGTGTAAAGAGTAAGTACCACTTGTCCACATCAGGGTGCTCTCACCTTCAGAAGCATCTGTCAGGCTCAAACCTCTTTCCACTGTCTGCTACTTGACCACTAAGAACAAGATGAGATTAGCCACCAAGCCAGCTTCCTAGACCAGGCTTTACCAGTTAGTCAAGGAGATTTTGACAGCTTAAAGAATTATACCCTTATTTGGCTTTGTGTAAAATTAATACTCCTCACCACCATAGGAATAACCAGTCTGCATTTGCCAGTTGCTCTGAAATGCCCCTTAGCACAGATGATCAGTAAGGTCTAAGATATAACAAAAGGATGTATTACATAAACAAGAGAAATCTTAAAAGCAGGAATATTGAGACAGACAGAAACATAAGAACAAAAATTTGTAAGAATTAGATATGATCTTACCGTGCACCTTACCCTAAAATGCAGCTTCTGCCTTGGACTCCATCAGTTTTCTGCATGTAACTTGTTAGCTTGCACTATCCAGCCTCCATCAGTAGGGGCCTTAGTTATCCAAAGCCCACAAATCCTTAGACAACCATTTTCCATTCCAGGTATGTGTTAAGTACCTTCACCTTATCCATTCATCTACAATCACATAATCATAGAAAATTAGGGGTGGAAGGGACCTCAGGAGGTCATCTAGTCTAACCCCCTGCTTAAAGTAGGACCAAACCCAACTATATTGTCCCGGCCAAAGCTTTGTCTAGCCAGATCTTAAAAACTTCCAAAGATGGAGATTCCACAACCTCTCTGGGTAGCCTGTTCCAGTGCTTTACCACTCTCCTGGTGAGGGTTTCTCCTAATAATCTGAATACGTTCTTCTATTCAGTTCTCAGGGAACATGTGTATATTATTATGTGGGTAATTCCCACCTCCCTATGATATGCATCTGTTTATCGTGTGATGCGTCATTCCCAATGAACCCACAGTGGCTAATACTGCTACTGCTTGCTGCACTGCCAGAAGTGGATAGGGATTTGACCCATGGAGCCAAATTATTTTGATACCTCTGTTATAAATAATGTATGAGCCAGGAACTGAAAAATGGAGGGAGAAAGCCACTAGTAGTAAAATGATATGAGCTGTTAAGTTTGGGGGGTGGCGTTTGATCACTGTAGTCCTGGCTATTGTCAAGAAGTAAGATCTAGGGGAGCAGGTATCAGTGAAAAGGGTGTGTGAACAATATCATGGTACTGATGTAATCATCCTCAACTACATTTGTTTATCTGTTCATTTATTTTAGAGATATTTTTACTATTTGTTTTAGAGCAGTTTAACTAACCAAGCTCTTAAATGTGGACCACAAAGCAGAAGGTTGTACAGGAGCAAGTCTGTCTCTGCCCAAGTGAACTCTGGGGGAAGGTGATGCTTTTGGGGAGGAGAGCAGGGACATCTCGTGATACTGAGGTATGATGCTTCATGTGAGATTGGTGTTCTGTGCAGTTTGTATTGAGGACCTGTTGGATGGAATAAAAAAGCAGATCCCCACCTTCCAAGGCGTGAAATACAGTGACACAGACCTCTTGGACTTTGCACAGTGTATGGACAAGTATAACAAGGAGCAATTTCTGTTACTCTACGGGGTAGATGAGGTAAGGGCCTCCCCTTCTAGCAATACTCTAAAAGCATATGGCTGATGCTAGGATGTGTTTCATAGTTTCATAGTTGGTAGGGTCGGAAGGGACCCGAGCAGATCATCAAGTCCGACCCCCTGCCATGGCAGGAAAAAGTAGTGGGGTCAAACACCCCAGCAAGGTGTTTGTCTAACCTCCTCTTAAAGACCCCCAGGGTAGGAGCCAGCACCACTTCTCTTGGAATTTGGTTCCAGATCCTAGCTGCCCTGACTGTGAAGTAGCGCCTCCTGATGTCTAGTCTGAGTCTACCCTCTGCCAGCTTGTGACCGTTATTTCTAGTCACTCCTGGTAGTGCTTGGGGGAACAGGTACTCTCCCCCAGTGCCTGCTGGTCCCCTCTGACTAGTTTGTAGCAGGCCACTAGATCCCCCCTCAGCCTTCTCTTGTGGCTCCAGTCTGGACAATTGCCACCCAAAGTGGAATTTAATCCCAAACGTTGTAATGCCTTGTACTTTTACTGTTTCTACTTTCTTTTTGTCTGTATTATATGAAGTTAAACTACTTTGTCTTTCACCAACTAGCAACTGTTAAGTGCTCTGGCAGTGGGAGCAACTGGAGCAGTTGGAAGGTCAGTTCATTTGTACTTCTCCTTATGTTTTGTTGCTATATATTCCTGTTATCTCTAGTGGGGATCCCAGTTGCTCCAGTGTCCAAGCATTCAACATCTTTAATGTATTTTTGCATCCTTATAATGCCCTTGTGAGGGGGGAGGGGGTGCTATTGTACCCCACTTCACAGATGGAAATGAGATCCAAATATAGGTTTGTCTACAGCAGGGATGTCAAGCTCCCTTGGCCCTTCCCCAGGTCAGAACGATTACATTCTGAAAATAAAATGTTATGCTACAAAACCTGGGTGCAACTTACTTTGATCACAATGGCCCATCTAAGCACCGCTTACTGATTCCTCTTTGTTTTTTGGCAGCACGTACAACTACTTGGGCCAAGCAAACAATATGATGTTCCAGGCTTATGCAAATCAGGACTTTGCCTTAGCTAGGAAGTATCAGGTATGGCATCTCTACCTATCTGTAACAGGAGTGGCCTTTCTTTCCACCCTTAAACTCCTTTTATTGAGGCTTAATTCTTTTACTCTGGGTTTTCCCTATGTCCTATATATCTTGTACTGTACCAGTTTCTCTCACCATCAGCAACAACCAGTCTGTCTGGCACCCAGGTAATCCATTTGTTTATGTTTTAATTACACACCCTAAGCATTTACCCATTATCTGTTTTAACTAGTCACAGCTTGCTTTTCTTCCCTTTGGGTAACCTGCTCTGCAACCATCAAAACCTTGTGTGCAGCAGACACTGTTTTTCTTTTCTTCCTCTGTGGTTCAGACTGGGCAAGAATGTTTGGATTAGTCCCAATCGCATGCATGCACATGATTGCTTTGGTTTTGGCCCTTTTCACATTCCAATGTATGCTCCTCTCACCCAGCCTTCTCCCTCTGCCCTTCCAGTGCATGTGCATTCACAGCCCCTTCTGACTAGTCTGGGCTACCTGACTACACCACCTGGTTCTCCTGCCCAATTCAGACTGAGTTCTGTGTCTGAAAGACAGCTATAGTACTCTTTAGTAATGTAATACCCTGCTTCAGCAGACCTGTTGTGACCACCCAGCATGGTAGGTTTGAGGAGCAGCCTATGAGTTGGGACTCAGGTCCTTCCTGGCTTGCCAGGAGAGAGACATCTAGCCAACTACTGGCTGAAATTATCTACAATTTCTTTGAAGGAAGCAAAGTCCAAGAAACTCTCATTGACACTAATGAGATTTTTGCTCAGGAAATAGTTTCACCTGTCTCTGCTGAAGCTCCTAATCTAGGGCAAGGTTATTGAGAAGGTTATGATGGTCTTTGTTGTAATGTTGGTTTTCCTAGACAACAGTCTGTCTGGTTTCAGGCCTGTACATGGAATGACACTGATTGCCTGGGTCATTCTTCTTCTGTTATAGGAGAATCAACAAGTATCCATGCTGATTAGTTTAGAAATGTCAGTGTTCATTAACGCTGTTCCCAGGCAGCTATTGCTATTCTGCCTGAAATCATACTAGGAGTGGATGGAGCCATTTTTGAGTAACTTGCTGGTTAACAGTAGGCAATAGCTTTCTGCATCAAGGGTGCTCTGTGCAGCATTCCTTGGGTCAAGGTGCCTTTGCCCTTCTTACACTGAGGGCAATTGGAGGGTAAGAAGGCTATGTGAGAAGTGGTGTAGTCAATATGCAAATGATGTGCCATTTCCATATCTTAGTCTGGAGCATACAAATTAACCCCTCATCTCCTTGTGGTTTGTTTTTTTTTAAAGGATGGGCAGGGATGGGCAAAATACAGCATGCAGACCAGATCTGGCCTGCTGTTGGATGCCTGCCAGGTGATTGGAACTGGCCCCTGGGTGCCCCTGTGGCACTCTGCATGGGGCCGAGCCTGGCCTGCTCCTACCTGGGACAGCTCACAGTATACTCCCACCCACACACCCCAGCCCCAGCTAGTATGTACAGCTTCCTGGCAGGGCTGCTCTGGGTAGGGCCGCAGCCACCTGGGTACTGCTTGGCTCCCCATGTGGTTCCTGCTACTTGGCCACCTGGTGCAATGAGAAGCCACCTGTAGGCAGCCAAGTGGGTGGAAGGTAGCCAGGAGCTGGAGCTACACATGCTGGGGCAGGAGTTGCCTGGCTACAGCTCCCCTCTCCACCACCACAGCGGTCTGTCTGTGTTGTCGTCGTGTCGTTCTCTTCTCCCCCCCCCTCGTGCCGCAGCAATGGTAGGAAGAGGAAGAGCTGCTGGAGGCAGGGGGAGCTGAGCAGTACCCAGGTAGCTGCAGCTGCACTAGGAGCAGCCCCGCTGGGAAGTCATGCATGCTGGCTGGATCTAGAGCTAGTGGGTGGGTGTGAGTGCAGGCACAGGCTGCCCCAAGCAGGAGTGGGTGGGGCTTGGCCACACACAAATCAGGACAAAAATTATTTTTTTAAATAATATTAGAGTATGTTATAGTAGATGTTTGATTTATAGTATGCAATTTGTTTTTTGTCTATAATTTGTTAAAATATCTTTTGAAAGATTTTGTGTGTGGCCCTCAACAGCTCACCAAAACTCATTAAGTGGCCCTCCAGTCAAAATGATTGCTCACCCCTGGACTAGTGGCTAGAGCAGTTAGTTGTTTAGCAAGGATCCTCTGGAATGGGAGGCCTCAGTTGTAGGCCTTCAGAGCATGGTGCAAGACAGCAGCCTTCTCAGACTATTGGGTGAAGGGAGCAGGTTGAATGAGAGTGATAGCCTGAGTGAGCCCAGTCCTTTTTGGGTCTTTTTATACTTTTGGAAGGGGGCAGGGGGGGACTTTTGCTTAGTTATATATATTTATATTATTGTTGTACAAGTATATAACACAGTTTGAATAGCTGCGTCTTGTATACATAAAGAAGTGAATAACAGTACTCTTGTCTTTGTCTCTTCTAGTTCTGTATTGGGGAATTCCTAAGCTTTGTATTCAAACTAGGTAGGTGCTGCAGTAGATTCATCCTTCCCTCATAACACAAGGACAGCAAGCTTCTGAATGTCACTGGTGCTCCCGGGTTTCTACACCAGGAATTCCTTCCTGAAAGATATACAGAGTGTAGATGTCATGTCTGCCACTTCTCGAGCTATCAGCAGCTTTAAAAATGTGCTCTAGGTTGCTTGCTTCTTATCCTGACTCTTCCTATGCATTTTTTCATCCCAAGCTCCCTTCCAATTCCATTATTTTGGGGTGTTCTCAATTCTAGACAGAATAAAATTAGCCTGACAAATAAACCCAAGGGAACTGATGCTCTTTTCCCCTTCCCTACTGTAATTTAGGAGTAACTGTATCCACCTCAGAGTTACACCTGTGCAGAAGTAAATGAGAGAGAAAAGTCAGGCCCAAGAGTTTTAATGCACTTTTATGGGCAGAAAAATTACTCTAAAAATAATACTTCTTATAGCTCAGGCATGCTCCCTATATGTTTTCAAAGCTATATTTATTTACTCCACTGCCAGGTTTTTTTATGCTGCTAGCACTGCAGAGCCAGGATAGCTTTGGAAGAGTGGATTCTTTCTGATTGGTACATGAATAAGTTGTCAAATAAAATGTTTCAGAACCTGTACGTAAACCTAGCTAATTGGGGTGTGCGAAATGGGCCCTATTCGATTCAGATTCGGCCCGAAATCAGGGACAGTGATTCGATTCATTGATTTGTATCACTGTCCCTGATTCAATTCGTCTGAATCCAAATCTGAAGATTTGATGCTGATTCAGAGAATCAGCGATTCAGACCTAGACACAGCTTTAAAAGTTTTTTTAACATACCTTGTAGCAGCACAGCTCATGATCACTGCGATGGTGGGGCAGATGGAGCGTCCCACAGGAGTGCAGGGGGGCCCTCCACATGCTTGGCAGCAAACCCAGAAGTGGACTGGAAGTACTTCTGGTCCACTTCCGGGTCTGCTGGGAGTGTGCGAGGGGGCCCCCCCGCACTCCCCCAGCTCAGCGATTGGCTGCAGGGGGACCCCGGGTGTCCCCCCAGACCCAGGAGACACCAGTCACCAGCTGGGGGAGCATGGGGGGGCCCACCACGCACTCTCCGGCGAACCCAGAAGTGGACCGGAAGTGCTTCTGGTCCACTTCCGGGTCTGCTGCCAAGTGCAGTGGGGAGCCCCCCACACTTCTGTGGGACATTCCATGCGCCCCAGCATTGCAGCATTCGCAAGCAGCCTGCTACCTAGAGGTATGTAAAAAAAAACATTTTAAGCTGTGTCTATGTCCAAATCTCTCTGAATCGATTCGGGGGGTTCTGATTCAATTCAGAGAGATTAAAGGGCCCTCTGATTCAATTTGGATTCAGAGATTCAGCCACTGAATCGGGCCGAATCTCCACTGAATTGAATCAGGAACCAAAGCTTCGTCCAGCCCTACTAGCCAGGTCTTTTGTGGGTTCCTGGCTTGGGTTTGCAAAGTTGAGAGTTAGAGGAAATGTTTGTGTATTAAATACCTAAATAACTCTAAGCTGATTCAGAAGACAGAGTAACTGGAAACCCCTGCAAAGCCATTTTTCCAGAGTTACTTTTGGAAATGTAAGCATATGTAGTAAATATTGTGTAGGATACCTTTTGGAGGAGAGTATGCCTAAATAAGGGTGGTTTCTGCTGTTACCTGATTGCACCATTCTCCCTGCTGAAAAGTGTTTAAACCCAGAGCTTAGTCAGCTTTTTCATAAAAGCTGAAAAGTTTGTTCCATTAATATTTTAGAGCCCCCATTTAGTAGTGTATGTTGAAGTGGGATGATATTTAGGTAACCTGCTCTCCTTTTTCCTGCCTAGGTTTCGGTGTTGCACAAACTAAAGCGATCATGACTTCCTTGTCTGGCATTCCAATGGGTCCCCCACGACTTCCACTCATGAGTGCCTCTGAAGAGTTTATCACCAAAGCAAAAGCCAAGCTGGACAGCCTACCATTCCTCACCACTTACCCGGCCAAGTGATTTGACATTAATGTGGATCTGGAGGTTTGGGGCCTTCCTCCACTGTTGTGATCCACCTGAATGTCCCCGCTGGAACACACCGACTTTTTTCAGGGAATTTGACTTCCTGCCAGGGGTGGCCTTTGGTGGTCTACAACTAACTTTCTTTCTCTTAGCTTTATGTGGAGGGGAAACTCTATAGTAGTTGCCTTTGCACCACAGGGCAGAGGCTTGGTATCTTCCAAAGAAGACAGCTTCTCAGAGTTGGAAGAATCTGGCTTTTCCTAAACAGAGGAGAAACATTCCTTGCTGGAACTCCTGAGTTTCTCTGGACTGGGAAGAGGACTATCTCCATATCGCCATCTACCAGAATTCCCTCCAGCTAGGTCTGTCTTTGCTTTTCCTGTGTTTATCCTTTCATTAGCATCTTCCGTACCACATCCTCTTTTCAATGTAATGCTATTCTGCTGCCTAGCTTGGAATTTTAATGCACTCATTTTTTATATAAACCTAAAAAACCCATGACTGCGCACTGGTAAGGAAACCAGGGAGTATTTTTGAGAGCTTCATTTCTCTTTTTGTAGTTTTCCTTCCCCTTAGTTTTTACAGTCTTTCATCTAACAAAATATTCAAAGATTTATTTTTGTGACAGGAAGCACTTTCAGCCCTCTGATGCAGGGGTTGGCAACCTACAGCCTGTGGACTGGATCCAGTTTATGGAACCTTTGGATCCAGCCTGTGGATGTGGGACTTCAGCAGCATTTGGTGGTGGGGAGCTTTGACTGTGGACAATCTCCCTATGTCACTGTGGAGATGAGCACTGATTGCAGGGTGCTCCACCTGTGCTGCTGTGGAGACAAGTGGCAGTGGCAGCAGGGTCCTAGCACCTACCCATCTGATTTTGACTCAGGGTGGTTATTCTAGCCTGCAGCTGGAAGAGGTTGCCTACTAGGGCTGTGTGAAGCTTCAGTAACTGATTTGATTCGGCCCGATTTGGCAGCCGAATCTCCAAATCTGAATTGAATCGGGAGGCCCATCAAAAGGTCCAAATTGTATTGGAGAGATTTGGAGATTCGGAAGGCTTGCAGTTTTTGTGATACGAGTTTTGCTTTCAACAGTTTTCAGGTGCACTTTCACAGATACCCTTGCACCTATCTCCTTGAAACTTGGCAGGCTTCGTGCCCTAAGAGCCGCTAGCATCCCTGCTGTTTTCATCCAAATATGCAAAATAATTACAAAGTTATAGGTATTTTAGTGATTTCCCATTATAGTCTAACAGAGCAAGGAATAGCCCAATTCCTTTGTTGCTACGGAGTTGCGAGTACAGGGGGAAGTTGGGTCAGGGACAGGGGAAGAATAATTACTTAATAGGCACAGTTGGGAGAGGGATCACATCAGAGAGGTATTTCACCTGATTAAGGGCCAGCAACTACTAAAGACCACAGCCAGAGGGCTATTCTTTTCCCCCTGGGGCAGAGCATAAGAAGAATCTGTGGGGAAAGCCAGGAGCAGCAAACCCAGTGCTGGAGCAGATTGCTGATTAGACTGGCTGACCGGGTGAAGGTAACCACAGCAGCCAGCAAAACGAAGAGGTGAGAGAGGGGAGACGTTTACCAGGTTGATCCTCAGGTGGAGAGACGGTCCCATGGAGGAAGAATCCACTGATACCTGCACCTCCCTGGAGTGGGGGGCGCACAAATTGGGGAGATTGCCCCAGGCCCCGCACTTTGGAGGGCCCTGCAGACAGTGCCTGCTGCAGTTGCTGTGCACTGCCAGCTCTGCCATGGCAGCTGCACACCACCATCCCCCTGCTTCAGCTGCTGGCCACCCCCCACTCCCCCCCCCAACCCCCTAAGGAAGACTGCAGGCTGTGATAATGGCTGGGATTACCCAGATCCTGCTGGGAATTCACTAATAAACCGATTAGTGCTGCTTCTGGGGTGAATTACTATGCCCTCTTTTGCTGGGGAATTAACTTCTTATTTTCACTAACTTCACTAACTATAACTTCACTAATAAACTGATTATGCTGCTTCTGGGGTGAATTACTATGCCCTCTTTTGCTGGGGAATTAACTTCTTATTTTCCCATTTACATCAAGGCATGGCAGGTGAGTTGCAGGGAGGGAGATTTTTAGTCAACCCCACCTGGCCACATAGTCTATGGCCGAATCTCTGAATCAGCATCGAATCTCTGAATCCAAATCACTGTCCCTCCGAATCAGCTGAATCTGAATTCAAAGCGAATACTTGCTGCTTTGCACATGCCTATTGCCTACCCCTGCTCTAATGATTGAATATGCTGCCCTCTTCCTTTCTTCCAGTACATACTAGCCAAAGCAGCCATGGAGTTGCAGCAGGGATTGACCCAGTGGTTTCTATAAAGCAGTAGAGAGCACTACCACTAAGTTTTTTTTTTTGAGAATGTCACATATTTTAAGGTTAAGGAGTTCCATTATACATACTGGACCTAATTCTCCACTGTCTTTTACCTTGCATAGTTATGTATACTATGATAAAGCACTATGGTAAAGTTTAATGTAAAGTGCTATCCATCTCTGTGTACAAGAATTCTGGCAGCATTTTTCACATTTCCTTGACTTGGTCTTCTTTGGGTGCAAGTCTTGCTTTCTAATTGCGGAACACAAACTTAGAAGCCAAGGTAGAGTTAGATGGTTGACTAGACTTTTCCAAAGATGTATAAGAAATTTAGATAAGCTTTCTTTTCAGTCAGACATGGAAAGGGAGATGATCTTCCCATCAGCCAATGAGTATGTGCATCTGCACCGAGTTCTTGTGCTACCATTCCTTTGAGAGAGACTGCAGAGCGCCAGCCTTCCAGGGTTCTAGGTAGAAGTATGCCCATGTACACTCCCAGCCAGAGCTATTCTAGGAAAATTTCTAGAATGTTTTCCCCAAGGCTTGTATTTTGTTACTTTTAGGATTATTTCTAATGGGAATGAAATCTTGTTACTGCTGTTCTAATGATGTTTACAAAACAAGACACTTTTTAAATAATAGGTAATATAGAAATAACCTATCTAAATATGTGATCTTCAAATGAGTAACTTCTATTTGTTTTGATAATCAACAAAGCTACCAAATTATTAAACTGGGTTTCTTCATGAACTTTTTTGTGTAACATTTTGATTATATTTCTGTGGGTTCTGGGGATCATAAACACATTCTTAAAAATAGTTGCATCACTGTTTTCTTTCTGCTTTGGAAAAATGCCCTTTGTGAGGCAGCAGAGGGGCAGGTGCCCCTCTACTAGGAATTGATTTCTTTCTTTTTTAAAGAAGTTAGTAATTGTTTTTCCTTTGTTGCAATTTGGGATGAAAACAAATGTTAAGATATTGAAACTTTTCCTGCCGGATTGAAATCCTAAATTGTGTTTACCTCTGCTTAATACATCCTAGTGGCTGGTGCTAGGGCTTGCAACCCAAGCTGCCCTGGTTCTGTTTTTGCCCCTTCATCTTCAATTTTGACCAAAAAACCCTACACAAAACAAAAAAGAATTGGTAATTTTATGCCTGAGCATCTAAAATCAATCCAACCAGAAATACAGTATGAGAGGCACAGCCAGGAATTGTATATCCAGGATACACTTTTATTTTTTTACCTAAAAATGGCAGTGTGTCAAAAGTAGTTTCCACTAATTGTTCCTTTTAGCATAGCAGCCTTCCTGTCTATCTCTGTCTCTTCTTTAATAGCAAGGGTGTTACTATTGTTGTTTAGTTCTCTAAAATGCCTAGCTATCTAGATAAAGTACTGTGTGTTCCTTGCATAGTGAGGCTAATATGGTTAGCCAGAATGGTTTGCACGTGCCATTGTGCTGGAAAACTAAAGTTAGCATTAGTATATTTAAGTTCTGTTCTCTCAAATGTTGATTTTTTTGTGGTTATTTCCCCTTCTCTATATGGATCCTGGCCTTCCAGGTGCTGAGTTTCCTGGATTGGGATCAAATAAGCCCTTAAGCACATTCTCTACTTTAAAATGAGATGGTCACTTCGACTAAAAAAGGACTATTCAGATACTTGAAGTTAACTATATACAGTATTACTTTGGATCCAGGTGTTGAGTGCTCAAGACTTTGCAGAATTGACTGAAAATTGACACTGGACTTTCACAGGACTTTTACTCTGTGCAAGAAAATGAGAAATCTAAGGTTAGGAAGCAAGTCCCAGCTTTTCTTATGTTCCCTGGTTTATAATAAAACCCAACTTTGTTCTGGGTATAATTCTGCTAACCACCCAATCGCATTACCTTAAACCACACCAACTTTTTATCTCAGCTTGGGGTAGCACAGTGGTGTCAAATACATCTGGTCTTCCAGGCCAAGCGATTGATGCACAACCAACCCATGGACTAGCTGAACTGCATGGGGATGGCCACATGAGCCAGATCAAGCCCACGGACCCTCCCCTACATGCCAGATCTAGCACCCATGGCGCTCACTCCAGCCAGTCTGGGGCCTGGAAGGAAGAGGCCCAGCGACCTGCCATGGGAACAAGCCATGATACTGCTGGGACTCCAATGCCATGGGTCCTGCCCAGGCATTTGCATGTTACCAGGAAAAGGTCTCCAGGCCAGATTTGGCTTGTGGGCTATAGTATGTTTGACACTCCTGGAGCAGCAGAAGGGTAAGGCGGCAATAGTAACTTATTCACAACTACTTTTCATACTTCTTCCATTTCTAGTCCAGCTCCTAGTACAAGCTAGAGCAGCACTTTAACTTGTCCTGGCTAATGTGGTCTCTGTGTAGTAAGTCATGGCACAGCTTCTGTGCCCCCTAGTGCATTCCCCTGCACCTCTTCATCTGCCTGTAGTCTCAGTCCTGGCACTCCTGACAGTATGATTACATACAGCTGTAACACTTGGTTTTGTTTTTGCATCATGTAAAGGTGACCAATGCCTATTTAACAGCTGAGCTGTCCCCTTTTTTGGCTACTTTGATGTACAAGGAAAACCTCAAGTTTTATTCCTTTAGATTTTAAATTCCTTAGGTTTTTTTTTTATTCTACAAAATCAACAATGTACATCTGCTCTTCCTAGGCCTTGCTCCAACACTAGCTGGAAGCTCTCACAGTACAGTTATTGTGAGCTCTACCCCCTGTACGACAGATGCATGTTGAGTCTTTAGCAGAGGCTTATTTTATTTGCTTACTCATTGGAGTTAAAGCAGCACGAGCTTTAAACAGGCTAATATAAAGACCCTTCACTCCCAGTGGTTTATCTCTGGCCCTTATGGAATCTGCATGATGCGAGTGCTCCTGTCCTCACAGAGGCCTCCTGCGTACATAGGTGAGCTGGCCATCTATCTGCCCAGGAAGAAAGATGCGGCCAGGAGGACCCCTGGTGACTGTGGGGGCCATCTTTCTGTCCCTCATCCATGCACATCTCCAGGCAGTTTCACCGGCTCCTTGGACTCGTTGGAGAGCCAGTGGGTGCTGGGTGGTGTATGCTGCTCCATGTCCCCCCACAGAGCACTCGCTGTTAGTCTGGGACCCTCGCTCTTGTCTGTTTGCTTTAGTTGTCCCAAGGACTCTGCTGGCGAACGCTTACTAGCCCCCTCCAAAAACAGGGTAAGCGTTTCTGTGCTGACTAGTGCGTGTGGACCCGGCGCTGGCTGGGAGTCACGCAGGCCCCCGGCCGCTGGGGGCGCTGCCCCGCCCCGCCCCTCTGGCTGGCTCCACCACTCTGCTCAGTGCGCATGCGTCCAGCGGGCGCCATTTTGCAGGGGTCGGTGGGCCGCGCGTCTCACCTGTGACAGCGGCCGGGCTGGGGAATAACGACGCAGGTCAGCGGCTGCAAAGCGTAGCCCCGGGCGGGCGGGCGGAATGGGGCGGTGCTAGTGCGCAGTCGCCGCTGGGCTCCGTCCCACCTGGAAGCTGCCTTTGCGAGGGCTGGGAGGGGCGCGCTGCTGTGGCAGCTGCTCACTGTCGCGTGTGCCCGCAGGGCGGC